GGCCTCGTCATCGGCCTCACGAAGTGGCCGAACCCTCGGGTCTTTTGCTGTAGAGGTGGTTGGTTCGAGGCCTTCAAGCCTCAGCGTCGGACTCATAGAGCCCGCGCGAAAGTTTCCGGGAGGGTAAAGCGGAGGGAGGACTCGCCGGCATCTGAATTCGAAATTGCGCGGGCAGCGCCCCCGCACTACGGGAAAGCTCGGGGAAACGTGTCGCTCCCTCGTAACCCAGGACCAGTCGTCGCCACGAACACGAGTCCCCCTGATGACACCAGCGACAATCAAACTGCGGTCGCCACGGGGCGTGAGCGGCCGACCAGGCAACACCGTTAAACCTGTATAAGGCAATATTAGAGTCGGGGAATCAAAGCGATCAATCAACACAAACCCGTTCCCCCTTATCTCACGAGCCCGAGGCGGGTCTTGCCAACACACTTGCTCTGTCCGCCTCAGCGCGCGCCGTACGTCCGCATCGCAGTAGATGCTGTCGTCATCTGTGATGGGGAACACCGAATCCATACAACAATCGTCGCAACTCTTCTCTCTCAAAAGTGGGTGTGTAGGGGGAGGATGACGAAATCTAAGTTTTCTCCCCTTGGCGGGGGCGTTGACCGTCCGCGCGGACGCAGGCGGTTGACGTCACCGGTACGGGACGAGAGGCTCTAAAAGGTGATGACTGTTAGTTTAAAAGGAAGGCGATCGAAAAGGGAGAGAGAGAGTTACGCCAAGACCGCGCGAGAGCGTAGGAAAGGCCGCGGAGGGGAGGGGAACAACCGGATCAACACACTCATACTCCTAACCAGACGGTCCCCCAGTTCAGTTTCCCCATCCCCGCCCGGACGAGTACATACACACATACATGCATGCAATCGACAACCCTTGACAGGACATCTAGTCATCCATGGACCTTCGACGTTACCCATGCGCATAACCAGCTCCCATCACTCGGGGCTTCACACACACGATATGCATAGACAAAGCAGCGATGGAGATAAAAGCGAGTCCTTCTTGTACACAAAAAWTTCAATTAACTGYTRCYCCCAGGCRCAGCCTTCAAAACTTCCCAAGACCACCGACCACCATAGCCACAAGGCCCTGCCGCGGCCGGCGTCCAATCCCCACCACTGCTCAGTCCCTCCGACTGCTTCGCCCCGAGACTACCGCGGAGTCCACCCCACGTCGTCACTCCGCCCGACCTTGGGCTCATCGAGCCTATTCGGCGCCGCGGACTCTCGCGCATAGCTCGCGCAACATTGCAGCCGAGATCAAAAGGAGGGAGAGGAGAGGGTTGCGCAAATTTATAGCGCGGGAGGCGGCGGGTTAACAGCGCGAGGTGTAGATGAGCAGGACAGGAGAGAGAGGTGGGGAGTTAGAGGGTTCGATCCGCGGGATTGCCTGGCTACGTGATTGGGATGTTCGTCCAAGTGGTGCGCGATTTCCTGCTTTCCACATTGATCCGAGCATCCCAACTATGCAGCCAATTACTTCGCGGAGGAAGACGGGGTAAGGATCAAGCTGGGCGTAGGGGAAGACGAAGAGTCCTGCATGGGGAAAACGCGCGCAGCAAGAAGGAAAGATGGCGCGAGGATGCAAAGCAAGAAACGGGGATGCGAGACGCGCGAAGAAACCGGAGCTTGGGTCCGCGCGAAAAAATTCAAAAAGTCCCAACCGCACCCGTTTCTTGGTTTTCATACCGTGGCCGCTATTCGCCCGCGGGAGTTATTAACCAAACAAAATGAAAAAGCCGTTTCAAAAAGAAAACAAAAGCAA